CCTGGCTCTGCCTCCCGAGTGCTGGGATTAAAGGCGTGCGCCACCACAGCCCAGCTTTGATTTGTTTTGTTTTTCGAGTTCTGGGGAGCTCAGGCTGGTCTTTCAACTGCACGAAGAAGTTGAAAATAACCTTGAGGTTTTGACCCTCCTTTCTCAACTCCCAAGTGCCAGCATCACGGGTGTACACCCACCATGCCTGGTTAACACAGTGCTCTTAAAGCTTTGATCAGGCTGAGGTCAGAGCCTGTCCATAGCTCTTAGGTTAGGGGTGGGGCCTAGAGATAATCTATCCCCTTCCATGTCAACATTTTGTCTAACTTGTCTTGTGCAGGTCCTTGCTCAGGCAACCTCAGCACCATATGATATCGGGGATGTACAAGATAACTATTTCGTTGTATATATAGAGTAAATTCGAAAGAATAAAGAAAAATTGGAATTGGCCAGGCAGCGGTGGTGCATGCCTTTGATCCCAGGACTCGGGAGGCAGAGGCAGGCAGATCTCTGTGAGTTCAAGGCCAGACTGGTCTACAGAGCAGGATCCAGGAGAGCCACCAAAGCTACAGAGAAACCCTGTCTCGAAAAAAAAAAAAAAAAAAAAGAAAGAAAAGAAAGAAAAGTTGAAATAAATAAACAGAGGCTGGCAGGATGGCTCAGTGATTAAGAGCAGTCACTGCTCTTGCAGAGGACAGAGGTTCAGTTCCCAGCACCCGCACTGTCTTTTCTAGGAGTTCCAACAGCACGGGTGCCAGGCACACATCATTGCGTGTATATATACATGCAAGCAAAACACGCATACACATAACATAATAGTGAGTGAACCTAAACAAATCAGTAAATAAGGGGAGGCTGCTAAAGGGCCCCCTGGGTAAAAGTGTTTGCCACACAAGCCTGAAGACCTGAGATTGATCCCAGATCCTGCAGTGGAAGCAGAGAAGAGATTTCTGGAAGTTTCTCTGACCTCCACGTATGCTTTGCTGCACAGGCATACCAAAATCACACACACAGAGAGAAAAATGTTGTATTTTAATTGGGGTTGGTGAGCTGGCTCGGCCAGTAAAGGTGCCTGCCGCCCTGCCTGGCAACCTGAGTTTGAGCCCTGCGATCCACATGGTGAAAGAAGAGAACCAACTTCTGAAAGCTGTCCTCTGACCTCTACGCCCACGAGCCAGGGCATGCATGCCTTTGTACACACGTGCACACAAAAACAAACAAATAAATAAATAATGTGATCTTAAAAAATAACTTAGTTTAAAAAAGAAAGTTGAAAAACAATTGAGGAAGACACCCAGCGTCAACATCTGCTTCCACATGCACACACACAGGCACGTGCATGTGCAAGTGAACACACACAAGGTTCGGAGGGATGAAACTTTGACAGAAGCAAATTCCCACCAAGGTCATGTATCAAGCACACCCTGGTTTTCTGGACTGCCCTCCAGTCTTTCATCCTGACCAGCCCAGGTCAGAAGATCCAAATTCAGTGAACACTACTTCATTCCCTGAGCCAAGACTGCTCCAAGACAGACCCTGTCTTCTCCTGTGAATGTCGCAAAGGGACTGTATGCTGGATGGTTGGCCATGTTCTCCTAGCAATGCTCAGGCAACGCCACCAACGATCCTTAGGAAAAAAAATGCATGGGAGTGGCCATAATCCAGCCATTTGGAGATTGAGGCCAATTTGGGCTACATAGTAAGATGGTAGCATTCTTGCCTTTTAAACATAAGGCCTTGGGTTCAAACCCCAGTATTCCTCCCCAGATATCATCTATCTATCTATCTATCTATCTATCTATCTATCTATCTATCTATCTATCTATCTATCATCTATCTATCATCTATCTATCTACCTATCTATCATCTATCTATCTATCATCTATCTAGTGATTTATCTATATACCTACCTATATATCTAACTACCTGTCATCTATCCATAGTCTGTCTTATCTCTACACATACATCATCTATCATCTCTGTACATATGTCTACCTATCCATCGGAATAGGTGATTTCCATTAGTTCTATTGAATCTTAGACAGTGCCCGTTTCTCCTGTCACTTTCACAACTTGTCAGTAGGGAGAAAGAAGACAAGAGTGTCCGCTCTCACCTGTGGAGTGACTGAGAGTCACCTTGGAGCTGCTGACTCCATCTCTTTCCACCCACACAGAACACTCATATGAAGAGGCAGGACACAGTCCATCCACAGTGACTCCGGTGTCTGTTGTTTTCCGGGTCTCACTCTGGCCACCATCTTCAGTGCACTGGGCCCAGTAGATGAGGTTCTGGGAGGGGGAGGAGCCCTCGGGGACGTCCCATGTCAGGATGATGGAGCTGTTGTCCTGAGCCTCCACCCTCAGGTTTCTCACTGGGTTTGGAGCTGAGAAATTAACAAAAAAGATACAGGTCAGCATCAGGACAGGGCAAAGGAGGCAGCCAGTGGACACTGTGCTTTCCAAGTTTTCTAGTTGCTCTCAATATTTCGTTGGATAGATGAACTAGGTCTGGTCCTCAAACAGGGTTTCTGTCCTGCTGGGGTTTCTACTTTTGTAGAAAAGCACCATGACTCAGAACAACTAGGAGTGGAAAGGTTTAGTTCATCTTGCAGGTTACAGTCTGTCCTGAAGGAAAGTCAGGGCCGGAAATCCAAGCAGGCACCTGGAGGCAGGAACTGCAGCAGAGGCAATGGAGAAATGCTGCTGACTACGTTGCTCCCCATAAATGCTCAGGTTGCTTTCATATACACCCAAAACCACCTGTGTAGGGAATGGTCCCACCCACCGTGGGCAGAACATTCCCACATCAATCAGTCATCAGGAAAAAGCCTCACAGGGCAATGCAATGAAGGCATTTTCTCCGTTAAACTTCCCTCTTCCCAGGTGACGTTCTCTTATGTCAAGTTGACAAAACTAGCCAGTACAGTCTCACAAGGTCCCAGTTGCCTTCATACTCTCTATGTAGCCAAGGATAACCTTCACCTTCAGATCCTCCTATCTATCTCTATCTCCTCACTGTGCTGGCCTAGACCAGTGGTTCTTGAAGTTTGCATATATGTAACCAGAACTGCTTGAGCACACAGATTCTCTTTCTGTAGGTGAGAAATAAAGCATCCCCAATCAGCCGTAGGAAAATGCTGGTGCTACCCACATGCCAATCATACTGAATATCAAGATCTAAACCAGCACTTTCCAAATGCTGTCTGTGATGAGGGCCATGCCTTCCCAATCTCCTATGTGACAAGCACCATCAAATTCAAACCAGTCTGGACAATATATTGAGTTCCAAGCCACTCTGGGAAACATAGGACATGCTATCTCAAACATGAACAAGGGCCTGGGGAAGTTGCTCATCTGATCAAGTTTTTGCAATACAATCACGAGGAGCTGAATTCAATCCCCAGAACCATGTGAAAACAAACAGGATGGCTCACACCTGTCACCCCAACACTGTGGAAGCCAATGTGGGAAGAGAGGATCTGGTCTAAGTGGTGAGTGCATGTCTGAGTAAGAGACTCTGTCTCAAAATCAAGGTCGGTGACTCTGAGAAACCATTCTAAGGCTAATTCCTAGCTTCTGAACAAGCACTCACACACAGGAGTGTGCACACACATGATCCACTGTTACACATGAATGATGTAATAATCTTACACACACACACACTCATACACAAACACACACACCCCACA